TCACAATTCATTAATGTTAACAATTAGCAATAAGGAAATGTTCATTTAAAATAATTTGAAGGAAATGCAATGTAAAGGAGAGAGAAGGAGAACATATGATGGTAAATGTTATATTTTCAGATGAAATGGTGAGATTCAGAGCTGCCAGAAAACAAAATACATATTATACCACTCCACTGGAAAATGAAGCAGCCAAACAATTCCCATTGTTCCCATCACAGAAAAATTAAAATCTCGTAATAACTTAGGCATGAAAGTTGCCTACAGTTTCACTTTTAAGGCTTTGTTTAGAAATGACTTGTGCCCCACTTAAGATCAAAGTTCATGTAACTGGCAAGAAAAAATTGCATTGCTGTAGGACCATGACAAGTACCGTGCACAGAAAAGGAATTCATCCAGAAGGATTGTTAGGCATGGCAAAGATGCCCCAGCCCTTTCTGGTAAGTAATTGAGGCAGTTGTTGCATAAGTAGGAACAGAGAATAGAAGAATTAATAAACAAAATACTTTGTTTTGAAAGGGAAGGCAAGTTTGACTAGCTACTAACTATTCCTGATGTGCACAGACAGCACTCATATGATAGACACCTCAGCTGAACTTTACAGCAGAAAGGAACAAATTTTGATCTTGTTTAAGACAGCAACAGAATTCCCATTGACCTCAATTAATGGGATCATGATTTGACCCTGTAAGAAGGGGGTAGCTGGAGAAGAACTTGGCTACTTGGAATAGAACTGTCTTGATTGTCCCTAATTTGTATTCTGCAGTGTCGGGATCTCCGTTTTTCATATTTTCTCAGCTGCATTGCTGAGGCAAGAATGGGTGGGATGGAAAATATATTCTGAGTGACTTGATATGACTGTGTCCTGCAATTACAATGGAATTATTTGCTGAATACCTTGTATCCCAATATCTAGACCATCGACTGGTGTGCAGTTAAAAACCAGCCCTACTGTCTGAGCTTAATAACATGCCTGAGCTACAGCTCATGTTAAGCCCAGGGGTAAAACTGCCTCTAATAATGTGGTAATATTTTTTCAAGGATGAAGTGTTCATGAGCAATTTTGCCATTGTATCAGGTACAAAGATGGTTTCTCATGAAACCATTTATCTGTATCAAACACACCATTCTTCCTTATCCATCAGTGATTTATCTTCAATGAAACCGTTAAAGAAGTAAGAAGTACAGATGCAGCATATGCACTTGTGCAGTGGTCATGGGTGGAATACATGCATAGAAAATGTAGTTTGTTTGCATTGCTGAGTTTTAAATAGAAATATCCAGTGGAAAGAAGATTTTTCACTTTTAACTTTTCACGCTGTGTCTCCATCTTAAAATCCTTATCAGCTGTGGTGAAATAGAAAGTGTTTCAACTTCCTGTCTTGTTTTTGATTCTCCTTAAAGACTTTGAGTGCTGTGGAACAATGAATGAATGGATCTTTGACATCACTAGTTCCAAACAACACAAGACAGATGTGTAGTCATGTTGTTTAATGCACTGCTGCAAGGCACTTGGATACTATGGTGAGAATATTTCTGTGATTTTCATCTGCATATGTAAAAGTCTAGTCAGTTCCTTTATCTTGGTGCTAGCCGTAAAGAATGTGGAGACGGGATCAGCATCAGAATCATCCAGATGATCAAAATGGCAAAACAGCTCTCTCCTACTCTATTCCATGAAACCGTTTATCTGTATCCAATATGTTCTAATGTTGGTTCTTTCTTTATAGGTCAGTAGTGTTCAACATATACAGCCTACATTGCACCTTGCAAAACCACATACCATAGCCAAATTAATAAAGACGCTGCTGTTTACATGCCGTTCAATTTAGCTTTCACAAGTCAGTATGGACTGCAGCCATGCTGTGTTGTGATCTCCCCAATCCTTTACCATATATCACAATGATGCTGGGGTTTTGTGTGGCTTTATTAGATGGCTCATGAGGATCCTTTGATCAAAGACCCTATAAAAATGTAAATTATTTATTACAGCTTTTGTTTTCATTTTGAGATGCACAGGTTGATCTTTAGTCACTTTTCCTATATAAACTGGAGTAATAATAATCTCTCTACTATTAATAAATAGCAGAGGGGTGAATGGAAAATACTGGCCAAAGACATTGGGGCAAACTCATGCTCTTACAAAATGAATCATGGGAGTGTAACTGTCTACACCAGTCAAGGAGTCACTGCACTGGTTGGTAAAATCTCATATGAAAGATTCAACACCCTCACTTTTCTGAAAGCAGACTGCATAAAACACAATGTTTCTAACCTGGAAGGGTGAAGGATGGTTGAGTCCAGTGGTGCTGCTCCTCCTAACCACACAGCTGCAGCTCCCACTGAGTGGAACCAGGTCTGTAAGGCACTCTACTTCCAACATACCCCATGGTCTCTGAGGTCTAACAGGATGCCAAGGTAAAATGCTTTATGCCAACACTCCTGCTAGAGTCTCAGCTAGGTTACTCCAGCCATATCCTGGATCAACCTAGCTGAGACCTAGAGCCAAGGGATGTTTGTAGGTAGAGTCTTCTTGTTTCCCTGGGAAATTCAAACTCCCATTCAGGAACTTATGGAGCACTACCAAAATCAGGAAATTTGATAGGCATGATTATTGAGACATGTGAGAATGCAGAGGAAATGTGCGCGGAAGAGGAAGGAGATGCTGCACTTCAAAGAAAGTAGAGGTGAGAAGACAAGAAAGAGGAATAAGAAATAAAGGAAGAGCTGTGAGATGGAGACAGACAGGTAGGATGGGTTGGACATGGGAGGAGAGAAAAAAGGATAAAGAAATGGAGGAAGGAAATAAGCAAGGAGAGACACCCAGCTTCTAGGTTAGTACATATAATTTGCTTGCATTCCTTTACCTTACTTCACTTACCTGGTAGGTCTCTGTAAGTTTAGGAAGAAAATGATGGGATGGGCTGTTTTGAGAACCTGCATTAATATTGTTAGCTACAGTGGATTCTAAGCACATGGAAACAAAGAGAAAATGACCTAAAATTTCAAGGATTTTGGTGGCACCTTAAAGACTAACAGATTTATTTGGGCATAAGCTTTCATGGGTAAAAACCTCACTTCTTCAGATGCATAGCTATGCATCAGACTCCTTGTTGTTTTTGTAGATACAGACTAACACGGCTACCCCCTGATACTTGACCTAAAATTTGTGAGAATGGGCCCTATCCAACTCCCAATGAAATCTGTGGAAGTACTCCCATTGACATCAGTGGGAATTAGATCAGGCCCCAAATGCCTCTGGCAGATTACCTACCCACGTTTATTTGGAGAATTGTCCTTTGAAAAAAATTCAGTGTTGGCAACTATACCTACATCCCAGTAGAAACAGCTGAGCTCCACTTTTCCTGCTGCAGTGGAAGCAAGTGATGGCCCAAAGATTCCCTCTTCTCTACCCCTGCCTGTTTTTTAATACATAAAGAAAGTCAGTTATGTTTGGTAACACCCCAAAATGAATTTGTTGGCTCACCCCAAAATTGTAAATCCAATCTTGCACAAAACTGTACAGCCATGACCACAGTGGTGAAGAGTTAAGTGTGAATATGTTTGGGGAATGGCTCAGATAAGGGGCCTAAATCATTCAACGTTCACTTCATAAAATCACCTTGCATTATTTGGCACAGTTTGGCAATGTTGGAAATCTCTTCCTAGGAAAAAGTGCATATTCCATAGCAAGACTTTGAATGTATTGTATTGGCAGAGGTTTGTGAGAGAGCTTGCAGAGCATTTGCCTCCACAGTGCTTGGCTGTACCAAAAGATATTATTAGCCTATCACTTTCATGAACACTGAAATACATGGAGACTCACAAATGTAAAATAAATACATAGATTTTAAAAGGAAGATACAGAGCCAGCTTGAGTCTCATCTGAGACCATCAAGAGGTTCAGTGTCCAAGGCAGTGGCCCAGAATATTAGGCCAGTTGGAATGGGGTTGCAGATTGTCTTCTCCCTTTCATCAAAGGCTACCAATTGTACCCTCTCTTTATGAGGAGTCTCCATGGGAATGAGTGTTTTCATGGTCTGATCCAGGCTTGTCAAAAACAATAATAAAAGTTCCCTCTGCTAGTGAATAGGACTGAATAAAATAAAAAATTGTAACGAAATTTTGCTAGTAGTGGGTTTGCTTCAGTTTGGTGTAGAGCTGGCAGTGCAGCCAGGTACAGCAGATGGTGATGACCTCCCTTGGGTCTAGTATGTAGAATCTACATCAGATGCATGGAGGTGGGCCAGGGAAGCAGGCTGTATGAGGGGAGGAAAGGATGTAGGACAGATGCAAGATATGTTCCATTCTACTTGTTCTTCCTTGAAGGGGGAACCTTTCCCTCTGGCAATGAAATTAATCCAGCAGGGACCCCCTGGACTGTCCCATTTTTGCACTTCAAAAATGCTGGCAGGTACGCTCTTCTTTCCAATTACATCATGTCACTAATGCTCACAGTGGCTGTATCTGGCCATTGGTTGGGATCCAACTGTGGGGTGGGAAGATGCATTAAAGCCTGGCAGGTCTGCTCCCATCTCCTGATGCTGTGGTCCTTCTGCCAACCCATCCTCTGTTAAAAATGTATGTTTTTATGCATTATTCCTGCAGCCAGCGCTTCATGTTCAGCGGCTCATTTTCCCCTGCAGTCCCTGTTGCACTTTCTCCTTTGGCCAGGGCTCCCTCTTTCCTTTCCATTACCTAGGTCAGGGCTGAAATAGACATTAAAACCCAAATGTATCATCCCCATAAACGCTTCTGCTCACAAGAAACGGCTCTTTCCCGCAGATCACAAACTCTCCTTTCTGGGTGATAGTACCAAGGTGCCAACCCCACTTTTTTAAAAAATAATTTTAGCAAAGATCACAAGCCCAGGGAACCAGGAGGAGGGAGCAGCCAATACAGACAAAGACAGAGCAAACGGGCTCTGCCTAACTCTCCCAACCAGCCCCCTGCCCGTCTCCTCTTCATTTGCAACAACAACAAAAAGGGGGAGGGATTTCCCCCCTCCCTTCTACCCAGCCACCCGGGGAAATAAATTATTTCCAGCCCGTGCGTTTTCTGCCTCGTCTCCCCCCCTCCCCTGTCACTGACACCCTGAGGGGCAGCCGAGGCAGGCGCTCGCCCGGCTCCCACCAGGTTGCCCTAGAGCGCGAGAGCGGGCAGGGAGCGGCGCGGCGCGGAGAAGGTGTGGAGACTGAGGCGGCGGGCAGAGCGGCGCTGCTTCCCCACCCCTGGCCAAGGGGGAGTCCGCGCAGCTGCCCAGCCGGCCGGCGGCTCCTCCCCAGCTGCCAAACTTCCCGGGCGGCCGCCTCGCAAACTTTTTTTTTTTTGCCGGTCTGGGTTTTGGGTCGGCTGCTCCCCGCCTTCGCCGGCTCTGCCCTGCAGGAGCGTGCGGGGCTGGCAGCAGCAGCAGCAGCAGCGGCAGCATGGAGCGGAGGCAGCCGCCGCCGCCGAGTTTCCCTCGCGGGTGGACTGTGCTGGTGGCGGTGCTGGGGCTGATGCTCCCCGGGCGCCAGGGGGCGGCGGGCTACTACCCCCGCTTCTCGCCCTTCTTTTTCCTCTGCACCCACCACGGGGAGCTGGCCGGGGATGGGGAGCAGGGAGAGGTGCTCATGTCCCTCCAGCTCGCGGGGAACCCGACCTTCTACGTACCTGGCCAGGAATATCACGGTAGGTGCCCGCGCCTGTTCCCGCTCCCCCACTCGCCTTCTCCGCTGGGCCGGGGGGCTCCGGGCCCCTGGGGCGGTGGGGGAAAGTTAGGGACTTCTGGCTAGCGAGGGAGCCCGCTGTGCGACTCGCCTCGTCCGCGAAGTTCTCTACGCCCCTGGGCGGGGTGTGTGGGTGAAAGTTGGTTGAAATGTGAATAAGGAATGACTGATTTGGGTTGGGGAAGCCAAAGGAATCTCCTTTCTCCCCACAGATTATCTGCTTCCACCTCTAAATGCTCATTGCTTTTCCCAGACAGATCAAATATATCACCCCCCCCCCAGTTCTCTGTTATCTATCAGCTGATAATATTGGGATAGGCTATTTACCTAGCAGAGCTTTTGTATGGATAGGAATCTCTTTAGAACATCACTGGGACACTTTACATACTTCGTCCTTGAATTTGTAAACTTGCCTGTCTTATTTATTTATTTATTTTTAATATAGTGTTGCTTGCAGGTCCAGCTGCCTGCAATTTCATGGCTTGCTGGAAAAGTTCACATTGTTGAATGACCCACAGTGGTCTCACATTTTCATGCAATATTAGCCCCTCCTATCATAATACTCCTGATGTTCAGTGCTGTTAAACAACTCCATGTACCTATTGGAAAATTGCACTGTTTTCTTGTAGAGATTTATTTTCAAATGTTACTATTTTTTTAGATGTTAACATCAGAACTGTACATTCTATGTTAGACCAAGATGAAATCTTGCAACAGTGTGCTACAGACAAACAAACAAAAAATTAGCTGGTGCCTATATTTCAAACTATCAACCTATTAATTTAATAAAACTGAAAATGTGGGCAGAGGTTATGTATTTTATAGGACATATGTATAAAGACAGAGCCTGCTGGCTAGTTCCCTGCCATAGAGATTTAAGTACTTAACACTAAGCTATTTCATTGATTTAATTAGGACTTCAAGAACATCAAAATATTCTAGACCTATCCTGATAATTTAGTAGGGCCTGCAGGTGTTTTCAGTCTTTGCTATTTGTACTAACTGTGACATAAAAGGAAAATAAGCGATTACTTATAGAGTTTGTATGTCATTTCTGATGTAAATTATGAAGACAAATTAATCCTCGAGGGCTCCCTTCTACTTTGTTCCATTGTCAAAAATATAGTAGCCTAAAGAAGTGAATTTTAGTTTATCTGTATTTGAATACAACTTCTCTGGATTACATCTGGGTTGTAAAACTGTTGGGCTTTCTGGTCCCCATCTCTTAGGAAACACAGCTGCTTTTTAATGGAAATTCTGATTCTGAACATTAATTTAGGTCCTGATCCAGAGCTCTCTGGAATCAGTGAAAGTCTTTCCATTGACTCAAGTGGCCTTTGTGTCAGACCTCTCCTGAACAGAGCTGACACTAGGCATAAGCATGCTGAACAATTGCTTAGGCCCCGAGCATTTCAAGGGGCCCCTCTCCTCTATTCACTTTTTTAGTATGTGTTGGGGGGGGGAGGAGGGACCCCCAAAATATCCCTGCTTAGGGCCTGCAATGGGCTAGAATGATCTCTGCTCCTGAGTAAACTGTAGTCCCTTTTCTTGATATACGTGCACTGAAAGAGCTGATAGGTGCCATTTGGAGGTCACGAGTATCTTTCATCAATTGATCAGCCAATATGATTGTGACACAGGCTTGACATGAGGGGTGATTGAGCTTTGTCACTCAATATGACCCCAGGAAGAGGATTTATCTATAAGAGCCAAAAGTGAGAGTGTTAGGTCAAATGTTCACAGCTTGTCTTGAAGATGGAGCAATCAAGTTTTATTGGGAAATCATGCACTGTAATGATGAATAACTTTATTTTTCTAGCTATCCAAACAGAAGAGAGTTAATACTTAGACTTAAGTAAATTATCCATTAATGCAAAATCTTTACTTCCCTGATTTAATGGATTATGTGTTTATCACCTTGCTGATTTCCCCACCACATATACATGTGTTTTAGCTCCTGTGAAATAGTTTACATGTTTTTGGTTTTGCCCATAAAGTGCCTATGTAAACCAGTAATGGTATAATTTAATGGTATTATAATAATTTCTTTATACAGGAGGCCTGTATGTGTAGAACCTTTATAATCCATAGTCACTGTACATTATTTAAGAGGCACTCACTAAATCTCCTTCTCTCTCTTTGTTTCCTTACCTAGTATTTCACAACTTCAGAACAAAAGCTAATTTTAGAATACATTTTAAAAAGTGAGGAAATTAAAAGTAAAAATTTAAACCACCATATAAAGAAAAAGATATAACAGCACTTGATTAAAGATGGAATTAAACTCTTAACTTTGAATTATCTGATTATTATTCTATCTCAAAAATTTTGTTTTATGTAAGCATTTTTGTCTCAATGTTCTTGGTTTTTTTAAAAACTGGATTAAAAGATGTTATAATTTTTTTACTTTATTAATTATTAAACCTCCAAGGTAGTTCCAATTTTGCTGTCTATACTTTTTAAGATAGACAATGTACTTTTGATCCAATTGCTAAAAATTTTAGCGTTTTCTTTAAAAAATAGTTTGAGGCCCACATATAGTAAACTGCACGTGTAAAAGATGTAACTTAACCATATTTATATTTTCTCCACAATCTCCAATCTATATTATATATTAAAAATCCAATTTTAGTTTTTAAACATTAATGATAAAACTAGGAGGAAAAAAGCTTAAAAGAACGCATTTGTTTTGGAAACTCTTAAATACTGTTTGCTTTTCTTTCCTCCCCAAAATATATATAATAAAAACTTCTTGTTTCATGGCTAACACCTTATTTTCCGGTCTCAGCCTGAAGTCAATGTTTAGACCCAAGCATATAACCTTTGAAAAATGTAGTTTATCCTAGACGTGGTGAAAGAGTATGACTGCCTGTTGTGTGGATTCCAAGGCATTAGGTGAACTGGGATTGGATGTGTTATGGAGCTGACAGTTTTAGTCTCCCAGAAAGAGACTTAGGGGAGGTGCGAATTTTGTGCTGCTTTGCTCATGCTCTCTCCATAGATGTCAGTGTAGAGCAGCATCAAAGCCTCAGAGGAGAATGTTGTATCTCTTGCCTTTGGGGCTTGTGCTGCTGTTATTTGTGGTTTGGATTGCTAAAGGACGGGAGAAATTATCATCCAGGAACGAAAAAATCCAAATCAGAGGAGGGTCCTTAAATTAGGCCAGGATGGCTTTGCCTTTGCTGTTTTGAATTAGAAACAATGTAATCTTTATCAACTGCTATAACTGCTTTCTGAACACACCCTTACATGTCATTTTTGCATACCCCAGTTTCAGATGTTGCCAAGCTCCCATGAATTTTGGACAATGGCCTGTATTTATCCTGATGAGTGATTGCAGGGACTCAGGAGATGTGTAAGCATTAGATCCTGACCAAAAATAATGCTGTTGGTTCTGATTCTCAACTGCCTTGCACGTTGTGTAGTCATTTGTGTCCAGATTTTCAAAAGTGCTCAGCATCCACAACCAGGGCCCAGTTATCACCAAACACCAATATAAGTGGCTAGATTTTCAACATAGCTCAGTAAGTTATGTGCTTATCCCTTTGAAAACCTGGACGTAGGTGTCACAGTGGGAGCTGCTGGGTGCTGAGCAATTTTGAAAATCTGGCTCTTGCAGTCTGATCCAAAGGCCATTGAAGTCAGTGGGAAGACTCAGATCCGGCCCTTATATATGTGCAGAGGGGATATAAAAGGCTGCTAAATAGGGTTGCCAACCCTCCAGGATTGTCCTGGAGCCCCCAGGAATTAAAATGAACCTTTAATTAAAGATTATGTCATGTGATGAAATCTCCAGGAATACATCCAACCAAAATTGACAACCCTAAATCAGAATGATAATGTTTTACAGTTGCTTTGAACAAGACAATGAGAGTCAGCTCATTGAATATGCCTTTTGTTAGGCCCACTTCAGTTGTATCATCACACATAATTTATTAACTCTGGCTTTATTCTCAATATTTTGATTGAACTGTAAATTGTAGGTTGACTCATTGGATCATATTCAGACCGAGTACAAGCAACTGCTGCTCCTTCTAAGTCAGTCCTTGAAGTTGAAATTTGGTGCAATAATTTTAAATTCACAAAGTATTTTAAAGTATCTTTTTATACTATCATAGTATTGAACAATACATGAATCAGTATTCTAAGAGCTAATCCTATTCTAATGAGTACAGAACAAAGTACATTAAAATGATCTTGAATAAATCATTGGTTTATATAGCAATAGTTCTGAGAAAATTACTCCTTTTTGTAAAATTATCTTATACAATATTTCCAACTTGTACAGCTTGGTTTTTCATTTTCGGTACACTAATTCAGTGCTCACTGTTAGGAAAAGAAAGGGAAAGGTACTAATTGCTTTACTATATGTGGTCCCTGTATCACATCTGAAACACTTTTGTGTTATACACAACACATACAAAGACCATTATTTTAATTAATTCTTTTAACAAACACAATACATTAAGAAAATAAATTCATACAATCTGAAGAAATCACGTGGGGCAATTCTGTTTTTAAACAATATGGTTTAATGTTACTGTAAAATGCAAATACGCTGTGGTTCATCATTTGTAATGTAAAAAATATCCTTTAAAAGTTTTCTTGTAAGGAAACAAAAATAGTGAATTTTCAGATGCAGTACTGATGTACAATAAAAAGGGAGTTTTAAATATGTGGCAATTATTAAGTGCAGGTGAATAAAAATAGTTTACTAAAATATCATAAATATGGTAGGCCAAATTCAGAGAGGAGTGTAATCTGGTAAAACCCACATGCCAAGTGACTGGAAGAGAGGAATGTAGCAGGAGAAGCAAGTAATAAAGGGTGTAAGAAAGGGTGTATTTATTAAAGTGACCCATTCTTTTACTTATAGTTCATACTCTTACTGCTTGCTCTGGCTCTTCAGTATGTAAGTAATACCAACTTAGAGTCATGTAGATTCATATACACCTCTACCCCGATACGACGCGACCCGATATAACACGAATTCGGATATAACGCAGTAAAGCAGTACTCCGGGGGAGGGGGCGGGGGGCTGCACACTCCGGTGGATCAAAGCAAGTTCGATATAACGCGGTTTCACCTATAACGCGGTAAGATTTTTTGTCTCCCGAGGACAGTGTTATATCAAGGTAGAGGTGTACCTGCTTTCACCCATTTGCCCATCTCACACCACCTTAAGCATCAAGAGAGGAAAAACAGTCTTGTGATTAAAAAAATGAACTGGCAATCAGGCA